GGGGGTTACGAAATTTGCTGCATGCAGCTGGTTTCGGCCCCGCCGAGGGGCCCATTCCTCGATACATAGCCGCCTCCGGCGCCGGGAAAATCAGCTACGTGAGCTGATTCTCAAACCCCCCCTTTGCTATCCCCCCCTTTCGCCCGACCCGATAGAACCCGCCATGTGGCAGCAAAATGTGGCAGGGGTTTTCGACGAAGAATAACAAGTACCCCAAGAAGACTTCCAAAAGGTCAAGGATATTCAAAAAATAGTCCCCAGGCTATTTTTGGATTATTTTTGGAGGATTTTGGGGGTATTTGTTGTTTTTCGTCGAAGATCCCCCTGTAGGGGGACAGGCCCGACTTAAGGCTAGGACGAGGAGAAGTGCGTTCCAGGGCGCTCTGGAGCGTTCTCAGAGCAGAGTAAAGCGGCGGTGGATCACGCTCTCCCGAATACTTTTTGACCATATGGGAGTATTTTTGTAAGTCTTTTTTATTTATCGTCGAACATCCTTCTGTAGGGGGACACGCCCGACTTCAGGCTATACGTAATGTCAGCTTGTGATTAACAAATGCGGCCCCCTCCCCGGGGCGGATGAATAGATCCTGTAGGGCTCGAAGCAATGTTTTCCAACCATACTGTGGTGTTGGGCCATCGTTTTGAAGGTACAGCGCCCCGCGTTCCCACTTCTCCTTCTCCTCCTCCTCCTTCTTCCCCCTCCCCCTCCTCCTCCTCCTCCTCCGCCTCCTCCTCCTCCGCCTCCTCCTCCTCCTTCCCCTCCTCCTCCTCCTCCTCCTCCTCCTTCTCCTCCTCCTCCTCCTCCTCCTCCTCCTCCTCCACCTCCCCCCTCCTCCCATCCCTGCCTCTCCTCTCCGCATGTCCACCATTTTGGCATACCCCGAAGGTTCAGCAGGAGGGTTCGCACGGCACCACCGCACCCAGTTCGGCACACCTCCTCACACGGTTCGTGACCCCATAGGGGGCTCATTTGAAGGCTCCAGTGGGAGGGTTCGCATGGCACCACCGCACCCAGTTCGGCACACCCCTCACACGGTTCGTGGCCCCATGTGGAGCTCCACCGAAGGTTCAGTGGGAGGGTTCGCATGGCACCACCGCGCCCAATTCGGGACACCCCTCACACGGTTCGTGGCCCAATAGGGAGCTCCACCGAAGGTTCCAGTAGGAGGGTTCGCACGGCACCACTCGAGCATCGTCTCGTCCCCCACGGCCGTTGTAAGTGACGTGAGGCGAGGAGTTTGCAATACAAGGGGGATCCCCATCCTCGGCGGCCATCAAGCGTTGCCTCAGGCAAAAATGACTACATGGGCAGTCTCCCACCTCGGTAATACACTTTAATGGAACTGTATGTTCTGGGGAGCTAGTCGAAGCAAGGGGAGCTAATCGTGGAAGCATCTATACAGCATTTTGAGAGGTTCCCCATTGGCACGTTGTTCCAGGACGTGCCGCGCGACTTCTATACCAGAGCCTCGGCGGTTGCAGAACGCGCAGCAGACACTCAACATCCATCGTAAAGATGCGCTGCTTCATCAAGGCTGCCCTTGCATCCTTGTTTCTTTCGCGGCCCATCCTGAACCCATGTTGAAACGCCCCAGGAGCTCTGAACAGCACGTGGGACCTCCAAGGGTATTGCATCCCTACCTTGCCACCTTACGGTAGGTTTTGATCATACGTGCGTGCGTGCACGCCCGTCCCTAGCAAACCTCAGGAGGGAAGAAAACACACAGACACAATTCCTTAGACACTATGGGAAAACATGGGAAGTGGGGGGGAAGACAAAAACCCAGAAAATATGGGAAAATATGGGGAATCCTGTTATTTGTGTGTATTTATTTGTGTGTCCCAGGGCCCCTTCAAAATCCTGCGACTGCCCTGGCTTGTGGCCCGCGCTGCAGCGCACGGCGCCCCCCCCCCCCCGCAGGCGCGGCGGACAAGCGCGCGGCGGGTTCCCCGCTGTTCCTCCGCCCCGCCCCGCAGCGGCCGCCTGCGCGCGCGCCTCCCGCGCCGCCCGCGCTGGCGCTGCCGCTCGCTGGGGCGGTGGCCGCGCGGCCAGCGGAGGCGACGACGGTCGTCGTCGTCGTCGTCGTCGTCGCTGTCGTCGTCGTCGTCGTCGTCGTCGTCGTCGTCGCTGTCGCTGTCGTCGCTGTCGCTGTCGTCGTCGTCGTCGTCGTCGTCGTCGTCGTCGTCCCTCTCCTCCTCCTCCTCCTCCTCTCCTCCTCCTCCTCCTCCTCCTCCTCCTCCTCCTCCTCCTCCTCCTCCTCCTCCTCCCCCTCCTCCCCCTCCTCCTCCTCCTCTGCCTCCTCCTCCTACGACCGGAATGGCTACGGAAAGAATGAGTACAGTGGAAATCCATGCCAAGAGACATTTTGCTTGCCTCCGGGGTGCCCTGGGTTTCTTGGTATCCGATGGTTTTTGATATAGAGAGCGTGGCGTTCCCACACAGGAAATCAATGGACGCCCTGGGGTTCCAGGGTTGGGTCTCTTGTGGAAAGGTCCTTGTGGCCGAGCTCTTCCTGTACGAAGACCGACAGCAGCTCCTGTCCGTTTTGCATAGGATTCGCTGTCGCTGTCGCCGCGGACGTTGTCCCCTTGGAAGGCAACATGTCGCCTGCCCAACAGCGGCCGCTGACGGTCTTGGGCAACGGTTGCTGCTGGGCATCGTTTCCATTTCTTCCGCGTCCTTTTTTGGCGTGCCACGTCGCCGGCGTGATCGGCCGCGTCGACGGCGGCGTTGACGCCGACCACGCGGACGCCGACGACGCCGCCGACTGCGGTGGCGGCGACGCCGAGGATGATGACGCTGGTGTTGCTTCCTCAACTGCGGCTTCTGGGGGCCAGTTTTCAGGCGCCGGAGTCGTTTGGAATCCCTCGGGGATGCCAAGGTGGACCTCGGGAGGGGTCTTGGGACCGAGCTTTGATGGCGACGGCTTGTTCGGATTTGTTATATATTGCTGTTTTCGCAAGTCATTGTGGCCACAAGGGTCTTCTTCGTCAGCTGGCCCTCGTCGGGAGCGTCTCTGGGCCCCTAGGATCGAGAAGGCAGTCTCGGCTCTCATCTTGGGGGCCGTCCAGCCCAGACCACCTGGCCTCTTCCAAGGAGCGCTGCAGCTGTAGGCCTGGCCGTCTGGGCCCGTCAGTGGGGGGTACAATGCATCATGTCGGCAGCCGCGTGCCTGATGTGCTTTTCTGGGCGAGTTCGTATCTTCCGCTTTCTACGAGTAGGAGACTGCAGGATTGATTTGCCCCACAACCGTTTTTTTGTTCCCTCGACTCTATAGGCAAATACGTCAACGTTCGTAGATCAACGGAATGTTCTTCGCATCTTTCGTAGATTCGACGAGCAATCACTTTTGGGACACGTCAATTCTGAAATTGATCCCCTGCTCGATTTCTGGCTTGCCCTCCTGTCCTCCTCTCCCCAGCTCCGATCTGATTCGGCGGCGAGCGAGGGGGGGAAGTAGGCCTTCTCAGAAGGCAGCCGGACTTCTCAGAAGCCCTCGCGCCTTCTGAGAAGTTCTCTATGTCTTCGGGGCAGGCTCAGACAACTTCTCAGAAAGCTGGGGGACTTCCGAGCCTTCTGAGAAGGCCTTCTCCTCACTTCCCCTCCTCGCTCGCCGCCAAGCGATTGCTTCTCACCCTCCCAGGGGGGCAGGTTCTGTCCACCCCAGCCAGCGCCGCGCAGCTGGCAGTAGGTCGATTTTTATTTGGCCGCCTGTTGAAATCCGTGATTTTAGGTCCACGCCCCGTAGTGCTCGCTCCTCCCCTCCCTCCTCTTCCTCCTCTTCTTCCTGCTCCTCCTCCTCCTCCCCGTGGGTGGGGGCACTGGCACCTGCTCTCATGGTGTCAGTGCCACACACCCCACGGGGCACTCCGCCAGGACATTCATCCGCTAGCTGGGTGTGGTGCAACCAGCCGTTTTCTTTGTGAACCAAGCGGCTTGGCGTCCTCGCCTTGCCGCTGGCGGCGTCAGCAGCGCCCGTAGCAGTGGATTTGGGTCCCAGGCACAGGGATCGCGCATTTGGTGGAGAGGTGGGGCCGTGTGGCCCGTCAATCCCATGGGACCTTGTGTCCACTCCCCCTGGGGTACAAATCCAGTTGTGCGTGCTCGGTGTTTCCTCCTCCTCCTCCTCCTCCTTCTCCTCCTCCTCCTCCTCCTCCTATTTCTCCTCCTCCTCCTCCTCCTCCTCGTCCTCGTCCTCGTCCTCCTCCTCCTCCTCCTCCTGCAAGTGCCCAAGAAGCGGTCACGATACAACAAGCGCGCCTACCCCCTCTGCTCAGCAGGAGCAGCGAAACGATGACGAAGAGCGCCGCGACGACCAGGTAGCCCGCCAAGAGCGCCAGCCAGCGTCCAGCGCGCGACTAGGCCGCCTCAGCGGCCCGCAGCGCCGCGTCCTGACTGGGGGGGTCAGCCCCCAGGGCGGTCCGGAGCTGCCGCGCCGTGGCCTTGTGGAGGGCCACGACGAGCTCCTTGCCCCACCGGGACATCAGGGCGCTGGCGGTCGCCGGCGCTGCCTCCTCGCCCAGGAGGGCCGCCTCGTCCCCGGCCAGCTGGCGCAGGTGCCGGAGGGCTGCTGGCCCGTGGCGGCCCCCAGTCTCCAGCGCCAGGGCCACCATGCCCAAGGGCGTCCGCCCTGGAGCGTAGCGGCGGCGCTTGTCGGCTTCCGCTGCGGCGTTGACCGCGCCTCCTCCTCCTCCTCGTCCTCCTCCTCCTCCTCCTCCTCCCTCGCCTCCTCCTCCCCCTTCTTCCTCCTCCTCCTCCTCCACTTCCTCCTCCTCCTCTTCCTCCTCCTCGTCGTACTCCTCCTCGTCGTCCTCCTCCTCCTTCTCCTCTTCTTCCTCCTTCTCCTCGTCGTACTCCTCCTCGTCCTCCTCCTCCTCCTCTTCTTCCTCCTTCCTCCTCTTCTTCTTCTTCTTCTTCCTCCTCCTCCTCCTCCTCCTTCCCCCTCCTTCCCACTCCCTCCTTCCCTCCCTCCCTCCATCCCTGCGCTGCAGCGTCGTGGCCTTGACGCGTGCCCGCCCGCGGACGCGGCTGGGAGCGGTCATCGGAGGCTTGCTTTCCCTTCGGTCTAGGTCAGGGGGCTGCGGCCCGGAGGGCGGTCTTGGGGGGCGGAGGGCTTCAAATGTATGTTCGTGGTCCCCTCATGGTTCGGAGGTGGATAGACCTCCTACCCTGACACGTCGATTAGTGAATTGGCCGTTTTCGGTTCGCCAAAGGGCGTCGCGGCCGTCATTTTTGCGGGTCTAGGTCCGTCGGTTTCGGTCCTAAATCGTTTTCCCTAAAGGGAGGTGTATGTGCTAAAGGGAGGTTTGTCCACCGTCGAATGGTCCCCTCTTTGCGGCCGTCTTGGGGGCCTCTTGGCCTTTTCTTGGGCGCAAGATGGCGCGTCTCGGGGCGATCGTCATAGGTGAGACCGAGAAGGCGAGAATGTTGCAACACATGCAACATATAGTGGGTCTCTTGGGTCCGCCCCCCGAGGGGCCTCCCAGACGGTTCCCGAGGACGCCGAGATCGCCCTAGAAGGCTCCCTTGGTCCCCTTGGGGCCGTCTCGTAGAGCATGTTGGAGGTCGAGGCCTGCGGGCAGGCTCCCGGAACACCTGGTAAACAAGCACGCGAGGATTGCTGGGACCGCCAATGGGCGCGAGAGATCGCCGTGGTGGAGTTGCTGGATCATGGGAGTTAGGACGCTTTAAGCAACTAGTTATGTTTATAGTCGTTACCTAATGGCCTTCCTCCCATCCCGCCACGGTGCCTGGGTTGTGAGTCGTGTGCCTCTGGGATGCTCGTGGGGATGACGCGGGAGGCCTTTCGGGGGTCTCTTGCCTAGAAGCACAGTGGCGGATCTTGAGTAGAAAGACTATTCGCGCGAGTCCTGTGTGAAGGCCTTGTGCAGGGGACACTCTGCGTCGTCGTGGAATTTCTGGATCACGGGAGATTGGACGCTTTAACCAAATCGTTATGATGCCAGTATTTAGTGGCCTTCCTCCCATCCCGCAGCGGTGCCTGGGTTGTGAGTCATGTGCCTCTGGGGTGCTCTCTGGGATGACGCCAGAGGCTTTTCGGGGGTCTCTTGCCTAGAGGCACAGTGGTGGACCTTGAGTAGAAAGAATGCTCGCGCGAGTCTTGTGCGGAGGCCTTGTGCAGGGGACGCTGTGCGCCTTGTGCGGGGCTCTCGTGAACGCCCTTTGGATTGGGTCCGCGCGTGTGTTCATGCAGGAGAGGGAGGAGGCACATGACAGGCACGACGGAGACGGCCCCCCTGCACGAGGCCGTTTCCTTGTGCGCCTCGTGCGCCAGCGCTCTTTGCTCGGGCGCTCTTGCTAGGAGGCACGAGGACGCCACTCATCGTGGGCGAGAGCCACATCTGTATATATATATATATATATTCTCTCTCTCTCTCTGTATCCGTGGCCTCGCGGGCCGGGTCCCCTGGCCACGACCCCGCGGACGCGGGGCGTTTCTGCGCGGGCGCCCCACGCAGCACGTGTCCGTGCGGCCGCAGGCTCGCGGGCTCGCGCCCTGTGGAGCCCAGACCGCGAGTGCGCGGATGTGGGTACACCTTAGGCGATGCTTAAGAAAACCTAAATTTTCGGCCAGAGTCTCGATTATTCTTAAGCTTTCAATGTAAATCCCACGATTTTGATAGAAATGTTGGGTTTTTATTCAAGTTCTGAGACTATGAATTTCTTAACCCATGATTTCTTGAGCATTTCGCAGGGTGTATACTGCGCTCGCCGCTCGTGGAATCCGTGCTCCTGGCACGGTGGCAGCTCCTCGTGCTCGCCCCCCCCCCCCCCCCCAGTGGCCCCCCAGAGGCTCGCGCGGGAGAGCGCGCCACGGGCCCGTGCCGAGGCTGCTCTCTCGGTCGCTCCCCCCTCCTCGCCCTCCCCCCGTTGATGGGCCTGTTTTCCACCACCACCACCATACGCTGGAGGGGGGAAGGAGGAGGAGGAGGAGGAGGAGGAGGAGGAGGAGAAGGAGGAGGAGGAGGAGGAGGAGGAGGAGGAGGAGGAGGAGGAGGAGGAGGAGGGAGGAGGAGGAGGAGGAGGAGGATGAGGA